TTTTTATGAAAAGGCGGAGGTTGTTGTTGCCGTGGCCGAGCTGGCAAGCGCCTCCCATGGCTTGAGCTCGGGGTACTAGTTTTTTGGTTCCTCCCGTGTGCTGCCGGCCGTACGGTCAAACTTGCATGGTGGCCTGTACTTACGAGCGCTCGTCCCGTGAACCCGATCGTGTAGGTGTTGGTTTTCGTTGGTTGTCGCGGCGTGGCCATTTGATGTCTCGGAGAACCCGTGAGAACGCATTGATCTGGCGTTGCATTTCTAGAATTGCTTGACTTGCAGGTTCATTGCCGGCGCTTTGCTGTGGGTGTGTGTTAACTGTCTGCTGAGGGCTTTGGTGAACAGCGTGTATGAAAGAGTTGTTGTCTTTAGTAGCCTCCATGATACGATCGGCCATCGTTGCTGCGTTGACCAATGCTATGTGCTCGTCTACGGATAGAATTGCGCGTATTTGTTCAGGCAGATTCCGGAGCCATAACTGYTTTAGGAGCTCGTCTGTAACCGGTGTAGCTGCGGCCCTTGTCCGCATTTCGGCTAACAACTGTGACGGTTTGCGGTCGCCGAGTGATAAGTCGCTGAGGAGTTTTGTTAGTTTGGTTTGTGTGCTATCTGCAAATTCGTCAATGATCCGAGCCTTGAGGTTTTCGTACATTTCGTTGCGTGCTGGTGGATTGGTACGGAAATCAGCTAGTTTGTACATAACGCGCGTAGGCAGTTGTCCAATTATGGTATAATATCGTTTTTTGTCGGACACGATACCTGYCGCTTCAAATGCCGCCTCGACTTGCCAGAACCATAGGTCGGTATGTTCCTCAACGAAATCTGGGAGCTTAACTTTCCCTTGGTCCAGCGTGTCCACTCGCATTGGTGCCTGTTGCTCTGGAGCCGGTGTCTCTTGCTCGTCGTTGGGCATATTTTTATTTTCGAAAAATTTCTCACTTGTGGGGGTAGCCGGTATGTTCTGCCGCTTCGTCGGGGTCGCCCCTCTTTAAAGATCACGTCGGGGTCACCAGTATGGGTTTTATCGTCGTCAGCTTACGGTTGCTTCGGACTTTGTTGGCTTTTCCTTGCCCTGATTAAAAACACGTGATTCAACTTTTACCTAACCAATACTTTTATTTGGAAAGTGGCGTGTTCTAGGCGAATAGATGTGAGGGAATAAAAATGGTGTGATCACTGTAAGAGTGCGCAAAAGAATGAAAGAATAATGGCGGTTCTGTTAACTGCGGTGCAGATAAATTAATGAGTGCTGCCAAACCATCGAATTGATGGTGCGGCCCTTGGGTGTTAGGTGTGTTCGCGTACTACACTGCCACAGATCAAAGCCCACCGTCAACAAACTGATTCGATCTTATCAGTGTGGCTTTAGACCTGGCAAATCAACAACCGACCAGATATTCACCATGCGCCAAATCTTGGAAAAGACCCGTGAAAGGAGAATCGACACGCACCACCTCTTCGTCAACTTCAAAGCTGCTTTCGACAGCATGAAAAGGAGCTGCCTTTATGCCGCAATGTCTGAATTTGGTATTCTCGCAAAACTAATACGGCTGTGTAAACTGACGTTGAGCGACACTAAAAGCTCCGTCAGAATCGGGAAGGAGCTCTCCGTGCCGTTCGATACTAAACAAGGTTTCAGACAAGGCGACTCCCTATTGTGCGACTTCTTCAACCTGCTTCCGGAGAAAATAATTCGAGCTGCAGAACTGAATAGAGAAGGTACCATCTTTTAAAAGAGTGTCCAGCTGCTGGCGTATGCCGATGATATTGATGTCAGCCTGGAAATCCAACGCAGGATAACTCTTGCCGACAGGTGCTACTTCGGACTGAGTAGGCAATTGAGAAGCAAAGCGAGTTTTCGAGAGAAAAGTTCTGCGAAAGATTTATGGTCCTTTACGCGATGGCAACGGCGAATATTGCATTCGATGGAACAACGTGATATATGACGACATTGACATAGTTCAGCGAATTGAAAGACAGCGGCTACGCTGGCTAGGTCATGTTGTCCGAAAACACTCTAGCTCTGAAAGTATTTGACGCTGTATCCGCCAGGGGAAGCAAAATAAAGAAAAGACCTCCACTCCATTGGAGGGACCAGGTGGAGAAGGACCTGGCTACGCTTGGAATATCCAATTGGCGCCAAGTAGCGAAAAGAAGAAACGACTGGCGCGCTGTTGTTATCTGGGCTATAATCGAGTAAGCGGTGTCTACGCCAATTAAGAAAAAAAGATGGCAGTTGTATGCTCTGGGCATTAGTCACTAGATCGCGTTTGGGAGTTATACAAGAGTATGATCCGGTCTTGAAACCTTCTATTACTAGTCGCATCTTTTCGTAGAAGTTTCGAGCATTAACCCTGTCGACCAGTTTGTCAAGCTCTTCAACACGCATTTCGCCCTCTCTTTTTTTGTTTGCAAATGCCTCTCTGTTCCCTTTCAACTCTTGGTATTTCCAAGTGCATGCCCTTAAATCACAATCCTTAATTCGTTTGCCATGTTCGTCTTCAAAAGTGGGGCCACTCATCCGAGGCTGTTGAAACTTTTTTACTACAATCCTGTATAGGGGATGTTTCATCTTAAAACGGATGTTCTTTGGATGCCCAGATGCTACTTGGTCCAGAACCGCAAGTCATGAGCTGCTTAAGTCATATGTATAAGAATCGTTTTGGCCATTCCCAAGTGAATGACGATCAGAGAACTTTCCTCACTACCGAACTTAGTTCTTCTTTTCTGGTGCTTAATGAAGAGTAAAAGACTGCTCTCAATACTTAATAGTTCTTTAATCGTTCACAAAGTTAAAATATTATATACAATACAAATACAAATCAATATTCAGCACAAGTAAATTGTACTGCATTGAACGAATGAAGTGATTATAGTATATTTCAAGCAGTTATCACGTGTTTTTTTTTACTAATATTTAATAAATTCATAAATAAATATTTTCATTATAACATTATTACTTAACGGTTATTGCAAATAAGCGATACCTGTTTCTTCTGTTTTTTCTTTCGTTTAGGCGTTTCTTGGCTAGATATATTAATCAACTGTTTATCATCTTTCATATTATTTTCCATTCCATTTTTAGGTTTTATTTTAATGTCATTTTGATTATTTTTTGTTTCCAACGTAAAAATGCTTATTCCGGCTTCCCTTTGGTAGTAATCGGAATTGCAACTAGTTGATGAAAAAATGTATGAAGTGGATAAGTTGACATCATATTCATCATCAATTAGTTCGTATGTATTTTGACGCAAAAATGTGTAATAATCAGTATCTGTAGTTGACAACGTAGGGAATGTTGTTGAATTAATAGAAGAAGACGGCATATTGCTGGTGATAAATGAGTCCAAAATTATAGTGGCGGACGTTTGACCTGGTCAGAATTTCAAATCTTTAATCGCTTGGGGTAAATCGGGGAGCTTAATATCCTTTATTTGTTGGGGAATGTTCATACTTTTAACAGCACTCACAGCACGTGCGGGGGCAGCAGATATACCTGCCTACAAGTAAAAAAATATTTTGATAAATATTGATCTCAAAAATATGTATAATCAGCTTACTTCTTGCTTCACTAATTTATTTTGTTCTTCGATTCGTGCTAATATATCGGTCATATTTGTTTGGAGAACCATTCCTCCCATTACCAGCTCAGCCAGAATGTGATGTACAGCATCAGCATGAAAGATTAAATCTAACTCACAAACATTTTCAAAACATTTGTCTAAAGTTTCCACAAAAACTTGGATAAGGTCTAAAATACCCAATTCGCTTTCAGATGAATCCACACAAAACACAAAATAAAGCGTTGCATAGTGACGATATATTAATTTGTAGTCTGACCCACCAATAAGGCTTAAAAGGATATTAAAAACAATGTTTCATAGTTCAAATATGGTTTACTCACCACCCTCCTTCTAAAAAGTTACACACATTATCTTCTCGTTTTGAAACCAGCTGGAAAGTCTCCTTTATTATTTGCTGCTGCATATCTTCATTCTATTGATAATCACAATAAACATATAAAAACTTTTATAAATATTTATCGTAACTTACAAAATATTGATAAAACTTCGAAAGTCTAGGCTTTCCGTGGTTGTTAAAAACTAAAATAGCCTTTATCATTTCAATTGTATGTTCCCAAATACAATATATAATTAATAATAATTAATTTCACACAACTTTACATTAAGCACATATTTTAAAGACGATATTAGAAATACGATATTAATTAAAAAGTTGTCCCAAAAACTTGGAAAGCAAATTGGTTATCGACAATATGTTTTCTAAAACTGTGTTTACACAAGACTCTTTTGTCCTTCATTAACGGGGCATCTTGACAGGCAAAATGTTATTGTATAGTAACTGTATTGCTGTGCGTATTGCATGTGGAGGATCCATATTGCTTATATAGAATACTAATTAGTATGCCATATATTGAAAGCCATGAAGTGCCACTTCAGCAGTTTGACGGTCCAGTTGTCATTTCTATGAAAATTTCGAAGAGACAACAGATCCCATTTACACATATACCGACGGCAGTTTCATTTCGGTAATATTAAATTTAGTGGAGCGAGTATTAAGACTTTGTGTTAAATTATAAATATAAAGAACATTTTAGAAATAATTTAATACATTTTTCCAAAAAAATTAATATTTAGTTTAATATTATTAATTTGGGGGAAAATTATACAAAATTATTGGCGAATGAGCGAAGTCTTAAATTTAATAAACTTATACAAGCATAAAATAATATACCGTTGCTCATATTAAATACATTAACTTAATTGGCATATATAATTTATGCTACAACATAATATATAGTTCGGAAATATTAAATAATTTTTTCCAGATACACATTTGCAGAAAAAAATATATTTTGCCTTTTTTTATTTTCCATATAAATTTTTTTCATTCATATAAAAATTTAAACAGTTCAGGAGCTCAAAACTTCAGCTCAAACCCACCTACCCTACGTCTTTTCGCAAATGATTATGTTATGATAACAAATGCCCACATACAGATTTGCCAAAGGCAATAGATTTGACAGTAATACCATTTTTAGACCGAAAATTTAAAGGGACTAGATTACATTTCAGCCCTTTACTAATCAGTCGGTTCTCACTGCCGTCGGAAGATGAAAAAACGACTGTTTGTTTGATGATAGGAGATATTTCGTCTTGCCCTCGTTCACTGCCAGCCCCATTTGTTTTGCTTCCTTGTCCAGTCTGGAGAAAGCAGAACTAACGGCGCGAATGTTGTCAATATGATATCATCGGCCAGCAGCTCTTATAAAAGATTGTATTAAGTTCTGCAGCTCGAATTATTTTCTCCAGCAGCTGGTTGAAGACGTCGCACGATAGGGAGTCGAAATGTCTCAAACCTCGTTTGGTATCGAACGGTTCGTAGATGTCCTTCGCGATCCTGACGTAGCTTTTGGTGTTGCTAAACGTCAGTTTACACAGCCGTATTAGTTTTGCAAGAATACGAAATTCAGACATTGCGGCATAAAGGCAGCTCCTTTTCATGCTGTCGAAAGCAGCTTTGAAATTGACGAAGAGGTGGTGTGTGTCGGTTCTCCTTTCACGGGTCTTTTCCAAGAGTTGGCGCATGGTGCATATCTGGTCGGTTGTTGATTTTCCAGGTCTAAAGTCACACTGATAAGGTCCAATCAGTTTGTTGGCGGTGGGTTTTAATCTTTCACACAAAACACTCGATAAAACCTTGTACTCGATGTTGAGGAGGCTTATTCCACGGTAGTTGGCTCAGATTATGGGGTCTCCCTTTCTATGGATTGGGCATAGCCACTTAAATTCCAATCGTTGGGCATGTATGAATGATGATGAGGAATGCACTGCGACCTTTGGTCTATTGTGCCCTCTCCTTACTCACATTGACTCGCTTAGACCCAGCCCATTAATGATGTTAAGTAGACTGCTTGGCGCTAGCGAGGCAATGCGATCCCTATCCGGAAACAACACTCCAAGGGCCTTGGCTCTGCGACTACAGACTGCTGTGCAGTCGATCAACAGATGCTCYGGAGTTTCAGGCTCCCTGTCGCAGAAACGGCAGTTGGCGCAAGCTGATAGGCCCATGCTGTGCAGATGCCTATTTAGCTTACAGTGGCCAGTATACCATGCGACCAACAGCCTGAGTTTGCTCCTGGGGAGGTTTATTACTATTTTGAACCTTTTCAGGTTGTAACCTCCCATTAGCAGCTTGGCGTGTCTCAYACCATGAGTTTGTCGCCAGTGCTCTTCCCTGCCTGCTCTTTCCTTTTTACGGAGCAGCTCCTKGAAGGTGTGGGGACCCACTCCTGTGAAGGGTTCGGGTCCTACCATCCTGGTGGAGGCTGCGGAGGGGGCGAGCTCGGCCGCCAGTTCATTGCCGGCTATACCTTTGTGACCAGGCACCCAAATCAGGTGTACCTGGTTTCTTTCCGCAAGGCTATTCAGCCTCTCCCTGCACTCCTGCACTAGAAGCGACTTGATCTCGTAAGAGGAGATCGCCTTTAGCGCCGCTTGACTATCGCTAAGAATGGCTATACGCTCATTGCGATAGTTGCGATGGAGGTTTATTTCTATGCACCGGCTTATAGCATAAGCTTCTGCCTGGAAAATGCACGGGAACTCACCCATGGGTACGGGAAGCCTAGTGCGTGGGCCCACAATTCCTGCGCTGATTCCCTCCGAAATGTTTGAGCCATCTGTGTACCACCTCATAGTACTGTTCCTCAATCGTCTTTGCTGCCGAGGGTAACCTTAAACTTCTTCCTGAGGTTAACCTTTTTAGAATTACTATCCCACGGGAGGAGGTCCAGCGGTAACTTGCCACTTATCATTCTCCATCCTCTGGGATGGGACTATTTTTCCTTTTCCACAGCCCTCTGCCGTTATTTGCAGAAGAGTGTGTTTGGCTACCACACCGATGACCAAATGAGCGGAGTAGGTTCAAGAAGATCCTCCAGTACTGCCGTTGGACAGGTTCGCACTGCGCCCGTCATGCAGACATAGGCCAGCCGCTGTAGCTTCAGTAGTTTTGTCTTAACGGATGTTTGCGACGCTACTGAGGCCCAGGTTACCGCCCCATGTGTGATTATCGGTCTTACTATCATGGTGTACAACCATCTAACTATCCTTGGCGTTAAACCCCAGGACCTTCCTGCCAGCCGATTACACACCATTAAGGCCTTTGTCGCCTTGACCAAAGTCAGGTTTACGTGCTGCTTCCACCTCAGCGTGAAGTTTAGCGTTAAACCGAGGTATTTAACACTGTTGGTCATCCCTATTTCACAACCCCCCAGTAGGAGATTTCTAAGATCGGGTAGGGTAAATGGGATTACTGACGTCTGGAGGGGTTGATATTTAGTTCAACCTCCCTACGCCACCCCTTCGCTAGGTTGAGACCTCTTTGGATCAAGTCACAGAGAGTGTCTTCACAATTCCCTCTTGCCATAATGACAATGTCGTCCGCATATCCTTGGCAGCGCTTCCCATTGTCTGTTAGCAGTGTTAGCAGTTCGTCTACTACTAGACTCCATAGCAGGGGTGATAACACACCCCCCTGTGTTCAGCCTCTTGTTGTGCCGAGACGAATACTGCTTCACCTACTGTGATCTCAGCAATACTTGAGCGCAGTACGGCTTCTATCCATCCACGCACTGGTGCCGCCACATTCCTTTTCTCCAGTGCCCTTGCTACACTCTTGTGGGACGTGTTATCAAAGGTACCTTCGATGTCCAGGAATGCGCAGAGCATCACCTTCCCATGCTCCAGTGAACTCTCTATTTCAGAGGTCAGCTAGTAGATCTGCCCGCTCTGTAGGCATGTTGAGCCGCATGCAGCGGTGAACTCTTTAGCTCCTTCATATTTATTTCCTTATCCACGATCATCTGCATGGTTTTTAGTAGGAAGGACGTTAGACTTATCGGTCTGGATGATTTCGCCAACGAGGAGTCTTTCCTTCCTACCTTGGGTATGAAGATCACCTTCGCTGTCCTCCATACCTCAGAGATATACGCCATTGTGAGGCTCTCTCTCAGCAGCCGAACTAGGTGGGGCAGCAAAAGCTGCTCGCACTGTTGCAACAGCGCCGGAAAGAGGCCATCCACTCCCGGAGACTTGAAACTCTCAAACGAGGCCAACGCCCACCGGATCGAGTCCGCCGTAAACAGCTGTTTGGCAATATCCCAATCCTCGTGGGATGGCCTGTGTTCGATCACCGGTGGACAGCGGTCCTCTCGAACTGTCTCCGGGAAGTGCGCCCTCAAAAGCTCAATGGCCCTGTCCTCCGCACTGGTCGTAAATGTCCCGTCGTCACGCTTGATTGCTATTTCTACTTTTGTGCCTCTGGCCAGAGCTTTGTGCAGCCGAGCCGCTTCTGGCATAGTGGCGACATTCTCGCAGAATCTCCTGAAGCTGGCCTGCTTTGCAGACCTAATCTCCTTATTATATAAGATGAGATGGCTTCGGTATTCTGCCCAGACCCCCGTACGTTTCGCTCTGTTGAACTGGCTGTGTACTTTTTTGCGGAGGTCCGCTAGTTCCCTTGTCCACCACGAACAGACTCGCCTGTCAATAGGCGCTTTGAGAGGACAGCTGCCATGATAAGCGTTAATTACAGACTTATTCAGTTTAGAGAGCCTGTTCTCTAACCCAAGGCCTGAAACGCTATCATCTGTCTGCTCCCTTCTGCTTAWATCATTGCCTAATATATCCCTGAAGGCGTTCCAATTTGCCTTCCGAGGGTTGCGTCTAGGGGGGAGTTGTTTAACCTCTACYTTTAGCTTGAACCTTATGATCCTGTGGTCTGACAATGAGGGCTCCGAAGAGACTCTCCGTTGCGAGACCGGTCCGCCTGCAGCTTCGTTGCTAAAGGTGATGTCCAACACCTCCCTTCTACTTATAGTTATGAAAGTTCCCACCCTGCGTTCTCTATTTCTAAATTGCTACCTACAATGAACTCTAACAGAGACTCACCTCTTGTGTTGCAGTCGGTACCCATTCCGAGTTGTGAGCGTTAGCGTCGCAGCCTATGATGAGAGGGAGCCTGTGTAGTCTGCAGTGCTCTACCAGCTTTTCCACCATCTCCGGGGACGCTGTAGGTGCCTCCCCTGGGAAGTATGC